TGGAGCCTCCAATTCCTGAAAACTACTTTGGGAACTGTGTATGGGGGAAGATGGTGGTTGATAAGCCATCGGCATTTATAGAGAAAGAAGGGTTTGTTATTATTGCGAAAAGTATTCATAGTAAAATAAAAGAGATATTAGATAAGGGTGTTTTTCATGAAGCAGATGATCTTGGTCGTATATATGCAGCTTTGGTAAAAGAGAGAGTTGAAATGTTAGGAATTGCGGGGTCTAACCGTTTTGGGGTTTATGAGAATGATTTTGGTTGGGGAAAGCCTTCAAAGGTGGAGATAGCATCGGTGGATAGAGCCCTAACAATTGGATTGGCAGAGAACAGAGATGCGAAAGGCGGTGTTGAAATTGGGATTGTTCTGAAGAGACCAGTGATGGAATTATTTGGCACTTTGTTTCGTGGAGGATTGTCAAATGAGTGATTCAAACGGTGTTCCAGTAACATTTTCCTCTCAAAATCATAACCGTCTGTTTACCTGTATCTCTGGTTTTAATTTTGATGCCTAATAAAGTGTATCCAATGTTTCTTCTAAGAGAATAATAACTTTTTGTTCTTCTTCTCTTTCTATGAGTTAAAGTTTAATAAAACAAAGAGAAATAAATAAGGATTTCCTTTTAAAAATAAACTCGTCTCATAATAATTTACTTAAATAAAATTGTTTTTCGAATATATATTATAAAAAAGAATTCGAAAAATAAAATATAGACTTGACTAAACTATAATAACCTATTTAAGTTTTGTTGATTTTAATTTGTGTATTAATATATTTGATTTTTCTTGTATCTATCTGTTAGGTAACTTTTTTATAACTCTTTTTTCATATCAAATTTTTTATTATATTTTTCACTTGCTTTAATATTTTTTACCCCTCCTCTTATCCTAGTTCCCTAAGAGAAATAATAGAATAAAAACTAAAAGAAATAATAGATACATATATCACTATAAAAATATGCAATGTTATTTTAACGTCAGCGAGGTTTTAACTCTGGAAAATACAATTTCTGGAGTTATAAAAATTCCTGAAAGAAAACTACGTGGTTAAATGATTATCACGGTTTTAGAAAAATCACCTGAATTGTCAAGCGGATTGCGAAAACCACCGAAATTGATAGAGATTTTGGAAAAACCGTCGGAATTAGCAGGGATTTTTCAAAAACCGTCAGGATTGGCCGGAGTTTTATTAAAATTGTCAGAATTTACTAGTACAATAAGGGGAAACGACAACGATTATTTTTGCTTATACGCAGCGGTTCTCGAATTGAGGCATATGCAGGCGATACTTTTTGTCTCGGGTGGGAACCGAGACATAAAAGGAGAGGATTTAACCTCGGTTCAACCTTAACCGAAGCAGTAGAATTTTTGATTTTTTTAAATTTTTTTCGTAGGACTTTATGTCTCGGTTGTAGCTTGAACCGAGACAATATGTCTCACTCTACTGCCTCGGTTGTAGCTTGAACTGAGGCAGTAGAATCCTTTTTTTTCTTCATTCGCAAGTCTTTCTGCTTCGGGTGTGACTATAACAGAGGCCATAACGGGCCTTTATACCTCGGGTATGACCTCAACCGAGGCATATACCCCTGTTTTTTTTTAAATGAGGTCCGTTTTTGCAACATTTCCAACTACAGAAACAAACCTGCATATATTTTTATAGCCAGAACAGTCCAGAATAATCCAGAAACATATATTTTGAATGAAAATTATATTAAAACATAAATATATTCAATGGAATCATAAATCAACTTCTTAGAAGCTTAAATCAATTCAATGTAATCATAAATCAAGTTTGAAGCATAAATCAATGCAATGTACAAAGTTAAACTAATAATAATGTAGAAAAGCATAAAACAACTTAGAAACATAAACTTAGAACTTATATCCTAATATCTACTACATACTATTATATAAATGAATTACATATTTAGCTAGTGTTTTCCTCACAAGTTGAATTGACTTCTCTAGAATTGGAGCAGTCCTATTAAATCTTTGCATAAAACACAATGATTTCAATTAGTGTATATGAAATCTAAACTATAGAGAAAATAAAATTCAAACCTAAATATTACCGTTTTCCATCCACTGGTGTAATGTGCACGAATAATGGTCATCATCCAAAACATGACGTAGTAACCACATTCATATGACCTCATTTGTCTATTACACTACAATATATCATCATAATTATAAAATGTTAAGTAACATCATTTGAATGGAACCAAATGTAACAAAGTATGAACTAAAATACCAAACCTTAAGGGCAACCCATGCAAGCTTTTTAGTTGTAGTAGTAGATCTCCCAGATAACATCATATGTGTTGCAAGAGAACTATTAAAAAAAATTGCTTTAGCATACATTTATACAACAAAGAAAGTTGAAACATTGAGTCTTACCAATCTACTACATGTCTAAGAGTGCTGAGAGGAGACTTGTGCAATGAACAAAACCAAACAGCAGTGTTCTCCGGTATGGAGATCACAAGTAGCTGCCATTGACACTTGAAATTGGTAATAACTTCATTGTCATATACCAAAATTAATAAATGAAACTTTAAAGTTAACAAATTTCACTTACCCATGTATATAAGGGAGAAAATATATCTCCTTTCCCATTCCAAAGCAGGTGGTGATGTATGTTTGGATATCATCAAATTTATTTCTTTCATGAGTCATAGAGGGGTCAATGAATCCATGTACATTGTTGAACCCCTTCTTGTTACTAACATCAAACATATACCTAAAATGAAGAAATAATCTGATATAAGTAACTTGATAAAAAATAATTATATAAAAAAGTTTGCATAAACTTACATCATCCACAGCTGAATGAGTGTAATATTAATTTATTCTCTCCCCGAAGCAAGCTCCCTAACATCTTAATGATGCAAGTACAATAGGATCTGAGCTTCTCTTCCAAATGTAGTAGAATCCCAGTGTACATTCATCGGCGCATCTGAAATGATTTTAACAAGCTCGTCTAACACACCAAGAGGGTCGTCCTCAGATAAATGAGTCTTCTTCGATCTAGGACTTACCTCTTGACCTATCTGCTGTTACATGCAAAAATGGTTATGTTATAACGTCAATTAAAAGTAAATATTAAAATTGAGAAGTATATAGTACGAGTGTTTACCGGGGGATCAGATACATCACCAACCAAATGTCTAGGTCAGGCGACAAAGGACTTAAATGCCTCATCAAAGTTTCTGAAGCAAAGGCATCAAATATTTCAACCCCATCGACCCACAACAACTTCAAGTCTTCAACTAGTGGCAAGAGATAAATATCGATGTCATTTCCAGGCTGCTTTGGACCAGATATCAACATTGACAACATAATGTACTTTCTTTTCATGCACAATCCAGGAGATAAGTTGTAAATTATCAGTATAACGGGCCAACAATTGTAATTGGTACTTAAATTACCAAATGGGTTCATTCGATCAGTAGCTAAGCCAAACCTAAGATTTCTACATTCTTCACCAAATTGGGGGAATTCTTGATCAATATTTTTCCATTGCTTTGAATCAGCTGGATGACGAAGCAGCCCATCAGTTGTTCTCTCATCTGCATGCCATCTTAGGTTTTTAGCGTCTTTGGGATTCGCGAACAAACGCTTAAGCCTGGCCACGAGTGAAAGGTACCACACTACTTTCAAAGCAGAACCATTCTTTTCTGTGTGACCACTATCTTCACCATTGTTTTTTTGACTTGTATCGTGATAACCCACATTTTGGACACTTTATCAAAACTTCATTCTCAATCCTATATAATATGCAATCATTCGGACATGCATGTATCCGTTTATACTCCATACCCATCTGTTTATGCAATCATTCCGTCTGGCAGCATTTCATTCAACAACGACAATAATTCTGTAAAACTTTNTAATAAATGAAACTTTAAAGTTAACAAATTTCACTTACCCATGTATATAAGGGAGAAAATATATCTCCTTTCCCATTCCAAAGCAGGTGGTGATGTATGTTTGGATATCATCAAATTTATTTCTTTCATGAGTCATAGAGGGGTCAATGAATCCATGTACATTGTTGAACCCCTTCTTGTTACTAACATCAAACATATACCTAAAATGAAGAAATAATCTGATATAAGTAACTTGATAAAAAATAATTATATAAAAAAGTTTGCATAAACTTACATCATCCACAACTGAATGAGTGTAATATTAATTTATTCTCTCCCCGAAGCAAGCTCCCTAACATCTTAATGATGCAAGTACAATAGGATCTGAGCTTCTCTTCCAAATGTAGTAGAATCCCAGTGTACATTCATCGGCGCATCTGAAATGATTTTAACAAGCTCGTCTAACACACCAAGAGGGTCGTCCTCAGATAAATGAGTCTTCTTCGATCTAGGACTTACCTCTTGACCTATCTGCTGTTACATGCAAAAATGGTTATGTTATAACGTCAATTAAAAGTAAATATTAAAATTGAGAAGTATATAGTACGAGTGTTTACCGGGGGATCAGATACATCACCAACCAAATGTCTAGGTCAGGCGACAAAGGACTTAAATGCCTCATCAAAGTTTCTGAAGCAAAGGCATCAAATATTTCAACCCCATCGACCCACAACAACTTCAAGTCTTCAACTAGTGGCAAGAGATAAAAATCGATGTCATTTCCAGGCTGCTTTGGACCAGATATCAACATTGACAACAT